TAACACAATGCTAAGCAACACGTCTACGTATTTAGCTACAGAGGTGTCATTATGACACCTGGTGTTGCAGCCAGAATATCACAAAGTCACGATTTCTTTACAAGTGTTTCTTGACTGTAATTTTATCCTAAATTATATCGGTAGCTAAAAGAAAGCAGATTTATATAATCCTAAGAGACCCCTACAACATTTTTCAACGCTTCACGAGCAATTTATAAGAATTCCAGCTATAAATCTTTAAGAATCGTTTCAATTCCGTTGTCTTTATATAAATTGAAAGTGCGTTGATGTGAAATAGGGATAAATCGAAATGTAAAGGCCTTTAAACTTTCATTTGTTTTACCCTACGATATAAAAGCCAACAAAAAAGGTATTTTTTAAATAAAACACTTTAACGGTTTAAAACGCGATATATTAGTTAAACTTATTTGAAAATGATTTTTAACTTCGGCCCGACGTTTCGGATGCTTTGCAGCAGCCGTAGCCGTGGTGGTGTCTCCCCGTGACCACGGCTGCTGCAAAGCATCCGAAACGTCGGGCCGAAATTAAAAATCATTTTCAAATAAGTTTAACTATCTATCTACTACTACTATCGCGTTTTAAACCGTTAAAGTGTTTTATTTAAATGTGTACTACTCGCGTAAACTATAGACAGTATTTAAAAAGGTCTTTTGTTATGTTAAAACATTGGTAACTTATACGCATAATAAATGAACCTGTATGATTTTAAAAAACTATTATCAACGATCCGTTACTGTGGTGTGGACCTTAATATCTTTCAAACCAATGTCCTGTTTTAGTAAAAAAAAAAAAAACGATTTAAAACGATAAATATATAACTTATTTGCAATTTAAACTACTGCCCGATGTTCGGATGCTCCTATGTGACCACGACTGCTGCGACGCAATAAGGATATGTCAAAACAGGTTATATATTCTAAATACATACCTTTACTCCAGTAATGACTCCTGAATTATGTACACTATTGTGGCGTGTCAGTCTGTATCGAAATTAGGAATAAAGGGTCCATACTAGAGATTTATGTATTCCAATGATTTTACCAAAAATTACTCTTAAAATCGTACTGGACTCACGAAAACTACTAAACAATAACTAGTAGTCTTTCCAACACGCGGGCTTTATAATTTTGTTAATAAACGGCATTCACATATAAAAATAACAAAGTGCACAACCAGTTCGAAAAAGTGGCACTCAAAAGCGTCTGACAGCGCGCTGACCACGTTCGGCCGTCGTATCGAAAAAACTCAACTACCCTCGAATTCAATATTTTATTCCGAATAGCTATAATTCGCATTATTACTATCACTAATGAATAAATGTTACAAAGTTATTACCTAAGTTAAGAGGATTGCATGAGCAAAACAATGTAAACATTATTTATTGCCCGTGTTTCTAACACGATCTAAATCGCGGTCGTGGAGGCTTTAAAAACAGATACTTGAAAAATAACGTGAATATTAAATAACAATCTACTTAAGATTGAAAATTGTTTTTAACCCGGGCGGGAATTTCAATGTAAAATCGATTTTTAATTTATATAACGCCAACATGTGAAAAATATTTATTTTTATTATATTTATTTCAGCTTTATTACTTACCAGCTATGCCCGTGACTTCGTCCGCATGGAATAGTGATTTGGGGTAGAATTTTTGATTATTTAAACTGTTTATTAATTTATATAAGGGCGCAGTTAAGACAACCGATCTATGTTGTAAGTGCTACTTTGCAGCGACACTCTCACCTCACATCACTCCTACTCTAACTCCCACTCTCATTCCTACACTCACGCTTACTCCCACTCCCACTGCTATTTCCAAAAAGCCAAAGAAGAAAGTTTCATTGTTCCATCTTCAAAAACCACGAATTTCACGAACCACGAATTTTTGGCATTAAAAAGTAGCCTTTCAGGCTCTAAAATATCTTCGTACCAAATATCATTTAAAACAGTAGTTTCGGAGTTAAAGCCGGACAGACAAACAAAAAAGTGTTCGACTCGGGCAGGACTTGAACCGGCATCGTCAGCGTTCCGTGCTGTTGCTCTACCAATTGAGCTGCCGAGTAATACAATATCTAATCGTCGAATGCATATGGTGAATACAATATGGTGCATGTATCGATATGTTGAAAATGTATGATGTATATATAACATGTAAAAAATAATAAAGTTTTCAAATCTATACTAATATTATGAAACTAATATTATGAGTTTGTTTGTTCGATTGATAATTGATGACGTATCGGGGAAGAGCTTTAGGTTGTATAAGATCACGCTGCGACCAATGGGAGCAAAGCAGGAGCGCAAAAACGAAATATTATAATAAACTCGTAAGAACCGTTTATGAACCGTTTATAAATTTGGTCGAAATTACCATTTTTTTTTGAGATAAAATGGGACGTAATAGATATGCGCGAGGTAAGAAGAATTGGAGAGAACATAGTTTGAGGAGGCCTTTGCCGATCGGCACAGGGATCTAGGCTTATTATAGAAATAGAATAGTTAGTAGACTAGTAGAAAATAGACTTTTTAATTATAAGTAAGAAACAATTATTATTGTAAATTTAAAGTGTAGCATTCGTAATAAAGGCTTTTTCATTTCATTGTACATAAAATAATCGTGCAAATTTGTTAATGTCTTATGTTACTTGCATACGTTGTTTATAATGAGTTAAGTTCGTCAATTAATCTAAACTAAAAAAGTACCTTGCTATATTCAGTAATGAGAACGTATAAACTTCTGTTATTACTATTTCGACAATCCTCGCTATTTGCTCAACCTCGCCTTCCAAATTACACTCCAGAGTGATTGCTTCCACATAAATTACTTGCGAACCAAATGGGAAATGTGAAACAGAGCGAAGATGTACTAAAATGAAAGCCTTCAAGAAATCGGGACTCTTATTGCTTGAAATTAAGTATTTTTGTCTTTGTAATTTTATAAGATTTAAAGACGTTTTTGCAGGGTTACTTGGCTCCATCATGGAGTTTGTTGGATCTCTTAGTCCTGGAAAGTTTTCGTCATTTAAATAAAACACTTTAACGGTTTAAAACGCGATATATTAGTAGGAGACCCCCGTCTCCCCGTGCCCACGGCTGCTGCAAAGCATCCGAAACGTCGGGCCGAAGTTAAAAATCATTTTTAAATAAGTTTAACTAATATATCGCGTTTTAACCGTTAAAGTGTTTTATTTAAATGTGTACTACTCGCGTAAACAGTATTTAACTTTTTATCACCTGAAATTTCGACGGACCCGTTAGTGTAACATATTTCTAATAAGATTTTTTTTTATATGTTGGACTTCGTCTTGAAATCCGAAAATTAAGTAAGTTAAATCGGTGGTATAAATATTGAAAATACGGATCACAAACCGCCAACCTATGAAAAAGCAGTGAAGTTTTATCACGTTTCGATTTCAGTCTCTGGATTTCCGAATACCAAAAGTCAAAATGGGTCGGCAACATCTTATTTAGATGCTATAGGCTGAAATATTTTACTTACTATGAAGTGAATCCCATGCTTGTCTATCATCGTCTATCATTAAAAAATTCATCAAATGCTGATGAGCCGACGACAGCCTAAATGTGAACGACCAAAACTCACAAACCTACATTGCATTGTTTAATGGCTACGATGCCTTTGACATAAATAAATAATAGTTTGGCATTGTAACGAGTCACACAACACGTCCAGTCTCCTAACAAGCTAAGTTTTAACACAAAGATGAAACGCGGTTTAACCAGATATAGAACCCGGAAACAAAAGAAAATCGTTACCCGGGTATGGCGCACTAATTGGCCCTTCGCAGTTTATGAATGGACCCTTTCAACTTGGTTTCCAAAGATCACTTCCGGTATTATTAAAACGTTTAAACTGACAGTTAAGTAGTAGTAATGGAGGGGTTATTCACATCTTCCCATCATCAGAACAGCTATCTGAATCTTGAGAGTGAGAGTCTAATCTAATTAATCTAAAATGTATCATTCATTTAAATCAAACACTTTAACGTATTAAAACGCGATATATATTAGTTAAAATTATTTTTATTATTAACTTGGAACCGACGTTTCGGATGCTTTGCAACAGCCGTGGTCACGAGATCTTAAAAATAAAAATAATTTTAAAATTAGTTTAACTATTATGTATCAGGTTTTAAACCGTTGAAGTGTTTTATTTAATATTTATTGTGTACTAGTCGCGTAAACTATAGACAGTACTAGTACTAAATTCAGTTTAAGTTTGCAGTCTTACACAATATATATTTTTTGATGACCAACCAGGAAAAAGTTCTTTGCAAACAAAAATTGTAAATTATTGTTTTACTTAACCAATAATACAAAAAGTTAGAATATTATTAATTACTGTATATTATACGGTCTTATGACTATCTTAAAATAAACAGTCTTTGGATAATTGATACATAATAATGACATGCGGAAATACCAACTATACTAAATAAATGCTTTATATAGCTTAGCATAGTTACAAATTTGATCTAAAAGTAAACATGGATGATGAGAATGCAAAAATATATTCTTTTTGGTTTTGCAAAAGTAGGGCTTGTGGCAGACATATTCTGTGGCCGTTTCTGGACTAGTCAACCAGGCTTTTGGGCCCTGCTAAGAATGATGTGAACAAATGTCGGACAATTTACTTTCGATAGAAGTTATGTTAACTAGGAACTTGTTTGTAGATTGTTATTGAGATTCGAACCTAGAATCTCTCGCGCGATTATTAGACGTGAAAACAGAATTTGTCCAATATCAATTATTAATTATATACCTGTAACTACCATAACATTATTTCAAAATGTACATAAAGTTCGATTGTTCTCGATTATCACAATAAAGATTATTGTTTTTCATAGACTTACACTAATAACGTGTATATTTTTAAACATATAAAGCTTATAATTGTTTCACACTATATATAAAAAAAAAAATGTTTCCCCTTCAAATTCCAAGAGTGCAGAGGGAGGCATTTAATCTGAATCCGATAGAAGTTCTGTGGTGGATTCTTCTGCATCTGTGGATATGACGTCAGCTAGTGATGTGCTCGGTTCGGATAAGCTTTGCTCCTGGAGACGTTTGAGATCTTCGCGTCTTTGTCGAGAGAAGAAACCGTACTGTAAGTAATGAGATGAAGTTTGTCTGTAGTTTAAATGAGCGCTTTTTTTAATGACAGAGGAGGACTGCCAAACTTAGGGTTCACATGATGGTAGTGAAATACTCTATGCCTAATGCCTATATATCTGAAAAAGATGCGCGGACGACTTATTTTGGCTTTGGATATTCGGAAATCCATAAACTGAAACTTTCGATTTCAGTCTGTGGACAGTGGTTTACATTTCCAGTCGAAGTCCAACATGTTTCAGAAAAATTATAAATTGATTAGAAAAATGCTGCCCAGGTGGGGATCGAAGCCACGACCGTTGATTATTAGCCGTACATGGCTACACCAATAGGTTCGTTAAATGTTATAAAATCACGTTTTCCCCTTGCGGGGCATGGAGCGAACATATTTCTGTGTCCGTTACACTGATTGGTTTACATGCAAGTAGTTCATCATACTTCTGTGCTTTTCCCGATAGAAAAAAAATATTGATACTTTAGCGCTTAACGCAATGATAGTCAATGTGTTTAACCATTCAGCTACAGAGGCGGTCAGTTTAGAGTAATACTTATTTAAATAAGAAAAGGATAACGCTTTAAAAGGATAAGTTATAGCTAATATATATAAACTAATAAATTTCACATTTTAAACTGGGAAAAATGTTTCATAATGACTTTGAAGTGATACAAGAAACTTCTTACTTTGTACATAACGAAGACTATGAGTGACAAAAGTAGCAGCCCAGCTATACACCCAACTACGACGGGCCAAATGGGAGGAGCTGGCTCCAACGTTAGGGTTGTAGTAATCGAGGTTGTCCTATAAAAAACAAAAAACAAATTAGGGCCAGATAACAATTTTATGTATCTTTGCTAACTCTATCATGCGCAATTTTCTGCGAAGTTTTCTAAAAACAAATAAACTTTTTTTATAATAAATATATGTATAATTATTTACTTTGTAAAAATCATTTCAACTCACTTATTTTGTTCGTCCATCAGTAGTAGGGTAGTCGTTATACCATACGATTTATTTTCTTCAAGGAAATCACCTGTAAAATTGGAAATCAAGTCTTAAAATTGGTTTTGGAACCAACCTGAACAAACCTTAATACATTCGTGACATAAGCCGTAAAATGTACATTTTCTAATCAATTTATAATTATTCTAAAACATGTCTTCGTCTGGGAGTCTGTATATAAAATGGGCGGTAGGAATATTTTCCACAGGTGAAAAGCTGTCAAGTTTTATCACGATTCGGTTTCAGTTGGTATATTTCCGAATATCCAAAGCCAAAATATGTCGGCAATGCATTTTATTTAGATGAGAGAAACCCCTGCTTGTCTGTCTTCCTCTAAATAGATTAATTAGTTACTTAATTTTCCTTCTCATGAAATCTACATAATCGTTATGACAATTACCATGAAAAAAGTAGGTTTTATTCCATAAAAGTAAAAAAAAACTGCGAAACATTGTCCAGTATACAAGTTGATGGAATTTTTAATTAGTAACTAAACCGATAATTATATTAATAATGAATTAAATAAGCCCCTAGATATGTGGGCATTGGGGCGACACGATTTAGTGTTCACAGATAGATTTTATTCAAAGTCAAGTAGTTGGCTTTCGTGCCTGCCCCATCGATACCTTATTGTTTACCCGGGATTCGAGTTCAGTAGCTCTCGTGCTTTATGTAATGGTAGACAAAACGTATAACCATCCAACTACAGAATTAGTTTGTAGTATCCTCGTCCCGTGGGAAAAAGTCTTAAAAAATGAGCCACAAGTCAAAAGAAATTACCAAATATATTCAAATCGAAGTTTAAAGGTACCGCTACGGGTAGGGAAACTTTCGCAGGAATAGACCAGGAACACTCAATCAATGCTCCTTCAGAACAGCCTTTTATCTTATTGGATACGTTTGCCTGTAATAAATTTGAATATTCTTAGACAATATTAATTTTCTTTACATTATGTTATAGTATACTACGCAGACGTAAATAAAACACTTTTAACCGCTTAAAACACGAAATATTTTAGAAGTAACTTACATTTATGTGATATCGCCATTCTGCCATTTCAAAATAAGCTTACTAATCATAAAGTTCATGTTAAAAACGCGTCATAAAAGTATTTTATATACTACAGATAATATTTAAATGTGTAATTTAAAGTGTGTATTCATTAGATGTGGGTTCTTAAAATATAAAAACAAAAAGGCAAAATTAAGGTAGTACTCAAAAATCTAAAGTAAATTGAAAAAGAAACATCGTCTCGTGCAGGGCTTGAACCGGCATCGTCAGCGTTGTGTGCTGTTTGCTCTACCAATTGAGCTACCGAGTCCTACACCTCATCGTCGATGTTTTACAACTTGTGTTATTAGAAATCTCTTTTACATACACACACTTATAGTCGACTTTTAAAATTGTAAATTGCACTGAAAACCATCCATGTCGTGAAATAAAATTAGATAACAGTTACCTTATCGGAGAGTAAAAGCTGCGCCGATAAATTAAACCAATCGGACGGGCCAAAGTTCATTACCTGAAAATAATTTAACTTTACATATTCATTTGTAGACAACAGAAACTGAATTCCAACTTAAAAAAAGACATAAAGAAAGAAATAAAAAATAAAGAAAATCAACGGTGAGAATATGAAACTGATTTTAACGATTCGAAACGTAACATATTTTAGTTATTTAAATAAAACACTAAAGATTAAATTATATTTCGCGTTTTAAACCGTTAAAGTGTTTTATTGACTTGTACTTAAGTTATTTTTAATTTAGACGGTCGACCGTCTTTTTCGGTGCTAACGTGGTGTTAAATATTACATTAAAGCCTTTTAGTGTATTAATTTATGGATCAAAAACTGCGCCTGCCCAGTCAAAGCAAAAACAAGATGCAGTATCTTGTTATATTTGGAACTCGCGGAATGTAAATCTACCCTCAATATATGAACATCTCTTTGTAATGATTATCAATTTTCTTTGAATGTTTCTTGTCTTACTTTGATTTAACACTAGAATTTTATTTCCCTGAGGGGCCTCTGTAAGTGTTTTAGAGAAAATGTTTATTACCTCAAAATAATGTACAAAGTAAATCTTGTCGCGTGCGTTGAATTTGTCTCTTGTCACAGGAACAGTTGAGTTTGGTAATGGCTTCCTGAAAACAAATAGGGGTTTAAGGAACTTGGCAGCTAAACTAAAACGGTATTAAAACTAGCTGTGTCCGCGTAGAATAGTTAGTTAGTTGCATGCCCAACATCTAAATTTGCTATTGCAAACCTCTTCTCATTATACATATATTTAGCCGTTATCCACGACGCTGTCACGGACATTTTTTAGATCATTCAAAGAGGAATCATTTTTTTCATACATATTTTTTAAGTATCTTAAACAGTTTTTCCAAATTTCCCGATGTTTTTTTGCTGCTACTATTTACAGTGCGATATTTTATATTTTTCCTCGATAAATGCTCTAAACGATACAAAAAGATTTTTTTCAATTCAAACCAATACTTCCTGAGATTAGCGTGCTCAAACAAACAAACTCTTCAGCTTTATATATTAGTTTAGGTTAAACACCAAACTAAGCTTACGAAAAATAAACATTTAAAAACTTACCCACTAATAGAAAAGCTTGCTTTTGGTGTCACAAAAATCCTAAGCTCTTTTACAATTTTCTCCATATCGGTTCCGCGGTAGAAGGGTACATGTAACTTCACTTCTATACGGATTTCCTTAATAAAAAAATATTAATTAAAGCGATAACATGATAATTTCCATAAAATTGCTTCAAGTCAGTAGATAATGGAAGAAGGGTATATTTAAAGGTGGATTATCCTTCTAATTTTGCGGTAGATATTAATAGAATTTAATAGGTGTTGGCCGATTATCTGACCTAACCAATATAAAGACAAAGTCGAAAATCATTGATTCACATAGGTAAGTAAGATATACTTCCACAGTAATTAAAAACTTCCATAAAAATCGGTACAAACGCTTTTGAGTAGTTAGATAGCAACAACAAGAACTTCGTATGATTAAATGTATTTTCGGAAATCCAATTTCAAACCGGAAACCACTTCATTTTTTTCTAGTACATAATGTAATTTAAATATTTGTCAAAAAACCTAATTTTCACACCTTATTATTAACTTCCTTTTGCGCATACTCTACTTCGATAACCCACTCGACAGCTTCCCCTCTGTACATTGGTGAAGGCACCTTGCAAGTCACGTTATATTCGTCCAAAGAACACACACTTGGTAATCTTTTCGGCAACGAGGGTAGAGTCAAGTGGACTATGGCGCCATACGACGCTTCCTCCTTGTTAATTATATTGATTTTGAGGCCAAGCCGGTTATCTGTTCCCGGTATGTAAGGACTGTAAACACATATAAAATAAATATAATGTTCAGGACCTACAAGATATTAGGTAATAATAAGATAATTAATCTCGCTAGTTTCAGGAAATGTTACAATGAATTTCCCTTAGGGCTATTTAAATAAAACCCTTCAACGGTTTAAAACATGATATATATTAATTGGTTAGAGAAAAATTAAACGGACATATAAATATGACCCTAGAATATAATCCTTTCAAGAAATTCTTACCTGTCCAAAGACTCGAGTGTCATGTCTAATAATGGCTTACAAATTAAATCTTCACCACAGTCCCTTGTTAATTGAATGTCGAAAGAGGTACTGAGAATCGAGTCATCTGACAGCCGAGCCACGTGGCTAGGGAATGACGTGCTGTCTGGAAAAGGTGCATTTATTTAGACAAAAATTTAAACTTTTAAGTTAAATTAAGACATCAATTAAACAGAAGTGATCAGCAAATACATTCTTGCGAACTGTAATAATATTTTTTATTATTAAACAATAGCATTCAATTTATTATATTATTATTATCAGTACATGTATTATTTTAAATGTGCAATATGTATCAATGTAGAAGTAAAAAATCTCTATAAATAAAGAAACACAGTCAATAAGCCTGAAAAATGTAAAACGTATAAACAAGGTAATATTGAAAATGAACAAAATACTCCGTCCCCACCTTGGAAGGTTTCGATTGGCGCCAAATTGAATTTCATTGAAATAGGATTTGATAAGTCGGCCGTTGGCTGTGAACAAATCGCTTTTATGAAATGACATTTTTAATTTTTCCAGAAGATACGATTTTGCTTTAGAAGTTGCTTTATAGTAGGAATACACAGATTTATTGAGACTAGGGGCCACTCGGGCAAATTATGAACTGTTGTACAGGTAATTAAAGACAGTTGAAAATATTATAATTATGTATTAAAATTGAAAAATAATTTATTAATTTGAGTATTATTATTGCTGTCGTCGGGCCACCAGTATTCGACTACCCGGTCGATGCGATCTGTGCATCTCTGCTTTAAAATAAAATTAAATACATAAAATTTTGGTTATTGTCTTTGAAATTACAATACTAAAATAAGTACCTTATATGTTTATTATATTTGTGATCAAGCCAATAAGCTAAAAGAGTTTGAACAATTGTTTTAAGGTCAAAATTATAGTTTGATAATGAAATTTTCTTATTGTTCTCATTTATTCACATGATAGGTATTATATAAATCACAAATAGATCCATTTTAAATTGTTTTACCGGTTCAAATCCCGCACGTGTCGTAATATTTTTTCCTATTAAAAATAGATTTCTAGTTTGAAAAATTGTTGTATTATTAGTATTTAATTATTGCAGCGAATTAGTATTTTATATACTGCACTTGTACTCACATGCACTTTTACAATATGTTCTTCGCATATTTCGATTCCAGGTTTAACGGAGACCTGGTATTCTGAATCTCCATCCAACATCGCCCGACTTCCTTCACTGTCTATTTCTACGAATGCTTTTAGATCTACAAAACATTGCATAATTAATTTTACATTTATATTGTCCCCTTTTGTCTAATAGTACATTTTTGTGCAGATTTTAAGAACAGGGCAAAATTATAGTTCAGAATTTGGTATTTTTCTAGGAAACTTTTACTTACATTGCTTTTACCTACCCTCATATTGTATATCTTATAATAAGCTTTGTATAATGTCATAAGTGATTGTATGTATAATCTTTGAGAATAAATTCCTTAAACCTAAACCAAACATGTTTATTACTAGCGCGTGGTTTTACACTTAGGGCACTCTGGGTGAATTATTATGAAGACCAAGTAAAGCCAGCACTTTACAGTAGTAATCGCTAATTTAGTACTGAATTGAACCGGCACTAGAACCGCAGACACGGTTGTTAAACTGTTAAACAGCTTTTCCCAAATTAAAAGCATCAATCGAGGGAAATATATAATATAAGATACTTATTTACACTTATAATTAAAAATGTTTATGTTTAAATTAAATTTAACCACATATGTTTGTTTGTTATCTGTTTTCACTGCCCACATTGTTAATTTGTATGTTTTTCCAATCAGATAGGCAAAAGACCTGCAACCTTTTTGGCTGCTGTACTGAATCCGAAACGTCGAGCCGTAGTTAAAATAAGTTCCAAAAAACTAATAATATTCGCGTTTTAAATCGTTAAAGTGTTTTAACGTCTACTACTCGCGTAATCTACAGACATTATTAAATATCTACATGTTATTTATTATTAACAACTTACCTAATCTTACTTGAGACCACAAACTATTCTCAGTGGCCTTTACACAAAACAGAGCTGTAAAGTTGGTAGAATTGGGTTGCAAATTCATTGCATCCGGCACTCTGATAGAAATATCAACGTGGATCGTAGGTACACATCTGAAGATGTATGCTGTTTTGGATTTGTAGGCACCTATGGCTAAATCTGAAAGAACAAGAGTTTACTTGTTTGTGTGTATGTTAAAACGCCCTAACGTCGGGAGCTACTAGTTCAAACTTAAAAATTATTTTTGTGTCGGTTAGAGCATTTATCGAGAAAGGCTATAAAACTTTGCGCTGTGACTAATAGGAGCGAAGAAATGTGGAGAAACGGGGGCAATTATTCGTCTCCGTGGGTTTCCGATGCGTGCCTACGCTACGAAAACGGTTCAAGACACACAAAAAATATGCATGAAAGAATGATTCCTCTTTCCATGATCTAAAAAATGTTAGCGACACTGTATGTCTATCTTTTCGTGACAACGCCCCCCCCCTCTTCATACGACTCCACAGTTTAATTTTTTAAATATAAAGAAAAAGTTTGGAAAAACTAATTTGTATGCCCAAAATAACTATACTACGCGGATGAAGTCGCTGACACAGCTAGTTTAATTATATTTTGTGAATGAAATTTGAAGATATTTTTTTTAATTAAGGAAATTTTTAATATCATTGATGTTATCTTAATATTAACCCCGTAAATTTCTTTGAACCGTTTGATAATAGATTTTAAATAAACCTTTGAAAAGAGTCCGGGCACCAATAGAAAATAGATATTATTTTAGGCAAAAATATTATTCTCAATTAAGGATATTATGTTGAGATTGCTTTCAAGTTATAAAGATAATAAAAAAGAAATGAAATTTCATTATTTGACGACAGTTGACAGTAATATTATTTAATGCTCCGCTTCGCTTGGTCGAAGCTCGTGGTATTCAAACCTACAACCGATAATATTGTCTCCATTTATATTGAAGTTCTTTTATATGAAGTACTAGCTCTGCCATTATCATGCTATACATTATACCAAGGACGTCGTTCTTGTAAATTAATCTTAAAAGATAGACATATTCTGTCGCAAACATTTTTTAAGTTAATTTAAAGAGGAATAATTGTTTAATTCATATTTTTGTGGTTCTCTTTCACCGTTTGCATCGCACCCTGTGGAAACTCTTATAGATAAATATCTTTTCCCTTTTTTCCATATTTCCTTTGTTCGCTCCCGCCGCTGCCTAGTGGTATATAGCCTAAAGCTCTTCTCGAGAAATGTTCTAGTCTCTGTTTCTGGGATTAGCGAGTTCAAACAAACTCGTCAGGCTTATAATATTTGTATAGATTGAAATTTTCTTACAGCATCTAGTAATCGTTTTCGAATTTTTTATATCGAGATATTTCTATAACTTTAACGAGTAAAGTGACGCTTATCTTTTATCGATACACTATGAAATAAATTAAATTCTTAAGTGGATTCTTACCATTACAATTATTATTATCAACATCGACAGCCTTAGATATAGAACCGCCGAAAGTTTTTGCGCCCGCCACCTTGATTTTCTGGGCATAGTCGCTTCTCAAACCGGTTTTACCGCCTCGGTAAATATAAACTGCACCGGACCCGTTGTCCTCCCAAGGAGCACCAACAGCGATATCTACATACATTGGTATTATAGTAATATATTACTCTGATTCTATATTTCAAATATTTCATTTTACCTTACATGTTAATATAATTCATACTTAGCCTTATGATATACATATATAAATTATTGTATGTTTTTAATTATCTCAATAGTCAGTGAATCGTCAATCTCAACGTTAAATAACTTTATCGCTCCTTATTTTTCCTCCTTCATTTTTCTCTTGCTGTACAAGCTGTGTCTATTCGCCCTAATTATTAAATGATAAATATAACTTAAATTGAATCTTATTTTTATTTAAATAAATCACTTTAACGGTTTCAAACGCGACGTGTTAGTTTACTTAACTTATTTGAAAATGATTTTTAACTTCGGACCGTCTTTTCGGTTGCTTTGCAGCATCCGTGGTCACGGGGAGACTACTACTAGAGATAATATGTATCGCGTTTTAAACCGTTAAATTGTTTTATTTAAATGTTCACTACTCGCGTAAACTATAGACAGTATTTAATATTGTTATATTAATAATTTAGAATTACTGTTACTCTAATGTATTTGTAAAGCCTTCAAGTCCTTCCTAGGCCTACATTTTCAATTCTTTTTACAAACATTTGTTTCTTATACCCTCATTTTGCATTAAAATTTCATAATTCGCTCACCATTAAAGCCATCTCCGTCCACATCACCAAGAACAGCTATGGTAAGACCGAAATGTGCGCCATTTTCTCTGGTACCGCTAACAAAACCTGCCTCTTTTAGCTTAAAGTCATCCTGAAACTAAAAAATCACACGTATTTTACAATCTCCTTGATTACAAGCAAATGAAACATGTCAGAATTATAGTTTAAGTGTTAGTTTCCTCAAATATTTCTTACCACCAGAAACAAAGTAGGTAAATGATCATTAAAATTTACGAATGATGATAGGATCTCAAAGTAATTTATCTATATTATACACATACCACAATTGCTGTATTCCCTGTTACAAATCCTTCGACATACAAAATGTTGTCTATGTTTGTGTGGGAATGCCCACACAAACATAGACAACATGCAAACAATAAAAATTAGTGAACTCACTCTGTTGTGCATCACAATAAATATTAATTTTAAGTAAAAATAATTTAGTTTTAAAATCTCAATTATAATAAACTTGGAATAGACTAGTTACCCACGAGCTTGTCTTAGTATGTATGTTTATTAAAACATAATAAATATTTTTTTTTTACACTGTTCGTTCTATTTGCTTTGAACTATACATTTAACAAATCAATATAGTCTGTAGTTTACGCTAATAGTACACATTAAAATAAAACACGTTCACGGTTTAAAACGCGATATATATTAGTTAAACTTAAACTTGTCTCCTCGTGACCACGGCTGCTGCAAAGCATCTGAAGCGTCAAGCCTTAGCCAAAATAATTTTAACTAATATAAACGTTTTAAACCGTTAAAGTGTTTTATTTAAATCAAAATAGCTTATGATTTGTCTTAACTCTGTATGAACTGGTGTCTTCGATTAAAACCGACCTGCTGTTCCGTCAAGTAAACAAACACAGCGCCTTGGTTAAATGTAATTGTGTCGTTCTTATGTACATAGTTGGGAGCTCCCACAAGCAAATCACTGATTCCGTCACCATTGATGTCAGCAGAGCACAAAGTGGCACCGAAGTATGAACCCAGCTGCGGTCCAGTCACTTTGGCTTTTATGTGGATTGGGTCTGACTCTTTGAACGACGGTTCGAATATTAGGACCTGGAAATCACAGTGAGTTTGAATAAATTTGTCACCAGAAGAATATACATTTGCTAAACATATTTCAACTTATGCATTTGTAATTACGTGCAGTTTACGAAAGTTGAAATAAAACACTTTAAACAGTTTAAAACGCAAAAAGTTATACTTATTTTTAAATTATCTAGTTTTTAGTCAAGCAATGTATGTATGTATGTATGGGAGTAATGTTTAAATAAGTTTAACAAATACATTTGCGTTTTAAACTGTTAAAAGAGTTTATGTCAAATATGCATATGTAAGTTTTAATTAATAACTTACTTGTACCAATTATATTACTCACTATATAAAATAAAAACATAACGAGTTATGTAACATTTAGACTAAAAGGAAATACATCCACAATCTACACATTAATTAAATCATAGTAATAATAATAATTTCTGCATACATTAGTTAAAGGTGAGAATGGTGTTATTTTTTAAGGCATCTTATCAAGTATATATATCATAAACATTCCATACTTGCCCAAGTCCAGATTTAGAGCGAGGTGCTCCAGCCACGTATAGAGTTTTGCCGTTCGCTTCGAAGACACCGGACTCTACACTGTAACCTATAATACGTAGATTTTTTTAAGAACTATTCACAAACATGTATATTAATAGTACATTAATGCAGGAGTCGGCAAAAAACGCGAAGCCTGCAACACATACGTCCATCAATGCCTAGTTACAGCCAAAGTTTGTATTCTATTTTTCTTTTTCTTCGAATATTGCTCGAAACTTTAAAATAAGTAATACAATTCAGAACCAAGGACGAAGTTACCGAACAGCTAACGACAATAGTTTTTTTCCCGCCTATTTTTTTTCACTAAACAGCCTTCTAAGTGCCAGCCAGTTCGAAGTTTCAATTAAGCCAGGGTAACCTCTTTGGTTGCCATGTTGCGGAGGAGGAGATACAGAGACGTTCCATTTTTAAAATACGCAACATATATGATGTCAGTGATTTATTTGGCCGCTAAACTACAGAAAGTTCCGATTTATCTCGAAGACAAATTGTTTAAATAAATATATTTGCCTTTTGCTAAATAAATATAAAATGTAAAAAGTTCTTACCTAAATAATCGTCAGGAGCAACTTCTTTAGTGTAATAAGGGTTTGTAATGGGCTGTTTACCAAAGTAAATACTTTTTGTATCAGGATAATATTTATATTCCACTATTCCTCCTGAAATGTACATTTTAAAGTTAAGTATTGAATATGCAAAAGCATTTGTGACGTGTGAAAAATTAAATCTTTTTTCCTTAAGGTATTTTATTTGTAAACCCAGGACTTGAACCCAGTATCTCTCGTGCTAAATGCAACATATTTTACCATGATTCTACTTATTTAATCATTATTTCCTTTAATGTTTAATTGTAGTGAAGTTAGATACAAACGTACTGTATGTAATGTCTACTTAATAAAGGCTGACATAATTTTAATTAAACTCTTTAACGGTTTAAAACGCGATATATATCACACATTTTGGAAACGTCGGTCTGTAGTTATAATAATTTTAACAAATAAGTTTAACTAATTGTTCGCGTTAACCGGCGTTTATTTCAATGTATTACTCGCGTAAACCACAGTCAGTATTTAGTCAGTCTTAATGTCAAACTCAAAATAACCTGTCCACTGCAGTAGACCAGGGGCTCCTACAATCACACTGTTATTTCCAGTCTCTTTAAGTGACATCCCAGCTTGGCCGTAAGCGTAGAAATTGAGGTGAGTTCCGTAATCACCAAACTCCTTTCTAGTTCCATCTGTTACGAAGGCCTGTCTATCTAGGGAAGACAGGTAGACAAGTTTTAAACTAAAACTCAACTACGAAGCGTTATTTTCTGAAGTTCCAGTTCTGTTCCGCGAGATTGTTAAAGCGCTAAGGGGATATACATTTTCTAATGAAAATAGAACATTTGGCTTCATCGAATCGCTTGGTAATTTCATCTATAGTGATATAAAGCTGAAGAGTTTGTCTGTTTGAACGCGCTATACTCAGGGCTACTGGTTTGAATTAAAAAAATGTATTTTTGGACCATATATTGAGGAAACTTAGGGCCCTAAAATATCAGACTGCACCAATAGGAGCGAAGAAGTATTGGAAAATGTGGAAAAGCGGGGAAAATTATTCATCTTTGCGGGCTTCCTTTACGTGGGACGTGAAAACGATTCAGGAACTAAAAAAGATGAATGAAAGAATGATTCTCTATAATTATTAAATAGAATATATACGACGGTATATGTTAACATGGACTGGTAGGATCGACAGGACGTGGACGACGTCCTGGTACTGTTTAAATTCTTCTATAAAGTAAAAATTTGGGAGCACCTATTTGAAATAACTAACAAATTGCGCCTTTTACTTTAATAAATTTATATATCTAGGATAATTCATGATATACGCTATCGTTCATATATGAGGTACTTATCATTGAATGGAGGGCTATATTTTTACTTACTCATTTCCTTCAATGGTAGGAGAGTAGCACCTCTATTCTCTGCTTGAATATAACAAGCCCCGTTCATTAACAAATGAGTATTCTTGTACGGCGTTGCATACCGAGGGGCACAAACCTGCAAGTTATATAATTCGTATTAATTACTTATTTCTAACTAGCGACCCGCCCCGGCTTCGCTCGAGTGCAATACTGACAATAAATACACTACAGGACAACTGGAAACGTTGCACATAAAAACCTTCCTTTTGAATCACTCTATCTATTAAAAACCGCATCAAAATCCGTTACGTAGTTTTAAAGATTTAAGCGTACATAGGGACAGGAAAAGCGATTTTGTTTTATACTATGTAGTGATGAGTCATTTGACTACTGTGGTATTATTTTTCTTTATTTTTTGTTGGTAGTTAGGTATGAAGGTAAAAACCGTTTACCCCTGTGGGGCATGGACCTAATACATGTCTTAAGCCCTTTCACTGATTGGCTCTTTTATATACATGTAGTTGATCAGGCTTCTTCCCTACCAAACCGTACAATCTATTGTTTCCCGGGATTCGAAACCTAATTTCGTTATGCTATATTATAGTGAGTATTAATAACTTCTTCTGATGAGTATTAGATTATTATGGTATCTCTATTGTAAACGTACAATGGTATGTGTATAAGGATTTTTTTTCATAAATCCGTTCTTTGGAAAGAAGCAGACAAGTATCATGAGAGGTTCAAACTTTAAAATAGAAGCAAAGAAATTCTAAATTAAAAAAAAAATAATTTTAATCTATACTATATTAAATTTATAAAGATGGAGGTTTGCAAAAACCAATTTCGGTGCCCCTAATAACTATTATACGCAGACGAAGTCACTACACAGCTAGTGACAATATAAATCTACTACTATACTATGCGATACTACTGTATATAGTATTTAATTCTTTAACTATAATTAACTGTAAGTCATTCAAGGCATGAGCCGCATTTGAACACTTTTATTTCTAATCCCATCTTTTTGATTTCTTCAAAGTCGGTTCTGAATTCACATAACTAATTAATACAATACAATACTTACTAATAATTTTCCATTCGATACGGTCGTAATTGTGGCCCCGAACCACATGTCATTCCGAAAAAAGTCTGAGTACGTTGAGAATCTAGCGAACACCAAATCTTCATCTGAGAAGGTTACAAAAGTTTTGTTACGTGGGAATGTCAAATTTTGTAATAAAATCAAATCAAAACAAACCAAAAATCATTTCGTTCGTGTAGTTTTTAACAACTTTACTTTTAAATAAAATACTTTAACGGTTTAAAACGCGATATATTAGTTAATTAAACTTATTTGAAAATGATTTATAACTTCGGCCCGACGTTTCGAATGCTTTGCAGCAGCCGTTGTCACGGGGAGGCTAACGTCAAAACAGTTAAAAATTAGAGAATCTATTTAAAGTTCTACCAGTTCCTAAGGGCGTAGAACAAACGGGGAGAACCGGCCGGAAAACCCCCCCCCCCCCCTTTTTTGCCCCGGGGCCCCCCCCCCCCCCCTTGGGTTTTACCCCTTTTCCTTTTTTTGGGGGGTTCCCCCCCCCCCCCCCCCATTTTCTATTAATTTACGTTATAACAATCCTTTTAATAATATTTATTGATGTCGCAGGTTTTGAACCCCAGACTCACACTAAACGAATTGTTAGGCTAGTTCGTGTAGAAAAATAATAAACAATGATTGCTTACATTCATTATCAGAACCCAACGGTTTGCAAGTCACTCTTTTCACGTTCAGTTGCAATCGGCACGTGAAAATTAAACCTGTTGCGATGGACGTATTGCTTCGACTCTTGGCCTTCGGTGCTCCTATTATGAGCCTGGAAAATTAAAAAAAAACTTAGTAGCAGTTAAAGCTGATGATAGTCAAGGACAAGGGTTTAGATTACAGTTGTGTTTCAATCTTTTGCATATCGATACGTGCTTTCCCTATGAAAGACGACATGTTTAAATAAAACAGTTTAAAACGTGAAATATATTACTTAACTAATTTATTTTTAACTACGTTTACGGTCTAATAAGGTAAACTACACGTCGTTTCTACATATCCTTTAAGCAAGCTTTTTTTATCCGTTAAGCAAACTATATGGTCGATTTGTTTAAAGGTATAGACAGCAACGGTGACATATAATTAAAAAAGCCATTTTTTTTTTGACAGAGGAAGCAGAAAAGCGTGCGGTTCACTTTATGAAATACCACAGCAATAGAACATCTGAAGAAGATGTGTTGTCTACCTACTTCGGCTTTGGACATTCGGAACTGATACCAAAAATGAAAATCTTCGGTTTTTGACAACCGGTATTCGATATTCTTACCACTCATTTTATATGCGGGTTTCCTGAGCTCGAGTTATCTATACTAATATTATAAAGAGGAAAGATTTGTATTTTTGTATGTAATGGATAAAGATTAGGACGCGCAATACATTTTTTTTTCTAATTTAGTGATTCATGGTCGTTTTAATTAGCATGCTTATAATTTAAATATCTGTACATATTTATGTCTACCCGTGCGAAGACGGGACAGGGCCGCTAGTTAATTATAAGTTGATTTCAAACATGTTGGACATGCTACCATTAGACTGTTGTTAGATAACAGTAATGAGTCACTTATTGTCTTTCTGCCAGAAATTATATAATCTTAATGTTTGAATAAACTAACATTTTTGTCCAAAAGATAATATTATTTTTAATTTTATTTAATTAATATTATAAACGTATGTATGTACATGAGTCACAGTACTGAGAAACAAAACGTGCAATTACAATTTTTATTATATATCTGTGACTCACATTCCAAGAATAAATGAAACTAATTAATAGAGCCTATATTTTCAAATAAAACACTTTAACGGTTAATACGCGATATATTTTAGTAAAACTTGTTTAACAATTATTTTAAACCGTTATAGTGTTTTATTTAAATTTGTACTACTCGTGTAAACTACAGACAGAACAAGCAAACAAACAAAAAATACTTTATTTTCACCACAATGTTACAAAAATAAACTTAATTGAAAAAAAAAACAACAGAGCCTATATTTACTAATTAAAATCTAGGCTAAGGTATCATTTTGTAATTTTGTGAGTCAGCGGATTTGAAGTAATATATTATAACATAAACATCAAAGTTGTGTGGATTTATTTTTGAGAAACTGTTTTAAATTATCGATACGTTTCTTATAGCCCTAATATAAAAAATATGTTTTTTTTGAACCTGACGTCACGGATTTTTGAGATATTGTACGATTTGTGGAGTAACAAAAAAAAAATATACAGCTCTAAGTTTTAGAAATGCTGCGGAGTACATCACAGTGAAAACAATACAAAGAAAAGATGTGAAAAGATTTGTTTATGTTCCTCGTTCTGTAAAATTATTTCTTAAATATCAGTAGAACTAGATAATTGATAAAAAAAACGTATTCGGTACTTCTATAGCAGATTCAAATTATATTTATTTTTCTAATACAGTCAACATCTATATTTGAGACCAACAAGATCAATAGATTTAAACGGATATAAATCGCGTTTTAATCAGTTTAGTTGTCTTGGTAGGTACATACATATTTCTTAATTCATTTTTATATTATGTTGCTTAGAACTGTAGAGTGTAGAATGAATCTTGCAAGCTTGTGTTAAAATCATGACTAATTTATAAGTAACTTAATAACAAACATTTATTTATTGTTTGATTTCTTATCTTCGTAAATCAACTTACTCCGATTTATTTAAAACTACACTGTAACCGAAAAATTCGGCATCCAAATCCGGTTGAAAAACCACAGCGGACTTAACATGAAAAATGTCACCACACACACTCACAGACATACACACAAAACATGTAAAAACACACACAATTTTACACATATTTATATTTTTCTGAGATCAGTTACATCTCGCTAGGGTCATAGTTGCAAACAAACTGAACACGATAACTGGTACATCCACAACAAATACATGTATTTGAATGAGTAATGCACTTTATTAATGGTAATTAAAGTTTGTTTTGCCATAATTAGTTAATTACTTTGTAAATAAAAAGCTGACATGACAACAAAATACAAACACTACTGAATCTTGAACTTCTGTCTCTTTCTAATGACATAGTGTAGATTGAGATGTGTCGATTGTTCGTCTTATATAATTATAAAATTAGCTTAGTAGATTATTATCATTTTTAACTAATTGTTTATAAGCAGCCATTTCACCTTCCAATATAATTTGGAAGGTGAAATGCGGGTAGGAAAGAAGGTCGATATCTTTAGATGTTTAGAAATTTAGTATTATCTGTAGTTTATGCGGGTAGTACATAATTAAGTAAGACACTTTTAACGGAACCCGCCCCTTAAAACCCGACGCCTTAGGGGCCCCCCCGACGGTGGCCTCAGTGACCACCGCTGCTGAAAATATATTTCGCATTTTAAACCATTAAAATTGATTTAAATTACAAGGAAACTTTTCATTTATAATACCCCCCTCTTTTCTCGCATATGTTGCATGTTTGGTGGTAGGAATTCCATCATTCCTACCACCAAAATGGAAAAAAATTTTTTCTTTCCTATAATTATTCTATTCATAAATTTAGTAATTAACTATTATTTAATTTATATTTTTAAATCGTTTAAATTTGTTTTTAGTTTGTTTATTATTCTTTACCATCGGGAGCACTGACCTGACATTCACAAATACTATTTTTTTATTATATCTATTATTAATACGTTATATTATTATTAAACGTATTTTTCTACCATAATTTAATTGTTTTTTTTTTGTTCTTATGTTGAAATAATTAGTGTCAATATTCTCTACGTGTAGGTAGACAGACACATTTTGTAAACGTTACATTCGTCAATTTTATGACTAGTAATCAGCAAGGCTCTTCTCATTTCTTTGTCAATGCATTAATGAGGGTAAAAATCAGTTCCACTGATATGACTCATGTCACAATTAAGTTATCTTTTACAGGAAATATCTGATAAGTATGAATGCAGCTGGGCAATAAAGTGTGTAACGATTTTAAGCAGGTCTTAGGTAAGGAAAACTTCATGAACCCGGTTCCTTATACACAAACAAATAAATGCGTCTACCCTAGCCTTTTCGACAATAGGGTATGCCCCATACTTAAAAAGGGATTTCATAAAACGAAACCGAAATAGTTATGTTTTATTAATACACATTTAAAAATTTTTCACGGTTTGAAACGCCAACTAGATTAACTAACTTATTTAATAAATTTAGCGTTATAAACAGTTATAACAGTTTTATTATAATGATGCTTAGATCCATGTTTTTGTTCTGTTTTTTGTTGTCTCCATATGAGTTTAGATAGTTCTAGTTCTTGCGCTAGTAACATTTAGATGAATTATATTTTTTAGTAATTCTGATCTTAAATATTCTATGGAAGTGAAAACAAGAGTTGGCTTAAAGGTCTCGTTACCAGGCCATTAAAAATTAAATAATAATATTCTATGTGAACAATTATGGATTAAACTTTTAATTATACCAGAGATAGCCAGACAGACAAATATGTAAAGAAACAGACTAAACATGTATTTTATCTAATTGTCACATTTGTAACCTAAATAGTACAACATTATCAGTGCGTGGCCTTTACATTATTAAATAATAATATAAAATTAAACGATTAATAATTATTAATAGTCGCAAGTTTGTTTGATAATATCAGTTGATATTTTGACCCGTTTAATATGAGTGCGTGCAAAAGTTTTAAGTCCACTGCGTTAATTATATTAATAATAATTAATTATGTACAATTAAATAGTGATTTTGATCCTGTTGCATTTCTTGTTGATGACAACGATTTTGACGCAACACCTAATTTTGGTAAGTTTAATTTACTGATAAGAAAAAAAACAAAGACGCATTAAAATTGAAAAAAAAAACAACAAACACATTTTCAGGGACTCACAAGTGTATATCTAAAATCAGCTGATCGTGAGTTCGAGCCCCACTGGGTTTTACATGTTTCAAATCAATTTGGAATTTTTCTGAAACATTTTTGACTTCGTCTGAAACTTTGCATATATAAAATGGGTGGTAACAATATTCAAACTCCATCCAGGTGACGAACCTCCATAATATATAGATGGAAAAGCCGTATCGTTTAATCGCGTTTTAATTTCAGTCCGTGGATTTCCAAACATCCAAAGCCAACGTAGATCGACAGCGCGTTTTGTTTAAATGCTGTAAGACTGGACTATTTTACCTTCCATCATTTGAACCCTATGCTTGTCTGTCTACATCAATTATAAAAAAAACTTAAGTAGATACTTTTAAAATATTTGTATTTAATTTATTAATAAATTATTTGGCTTTTTGCTTATTGACCCTGGATCTTTTTCCAAACGGGCGTGTTGGGTTTGACGTACTGTGTGTTTGATTGTGTGCTACTAAATTTTCATTTTCTTTTCTCTTTTAGAGACTACAGACGAGCCCGTTTTTTCCGATGGCTTATGGATGTGTGGGGATTGTTTAGGGATACAAGAATCTAATATAAAATATAGTGAATCGTTTGACGTCGATACTAATGAACAAAATGAAGAAAATATTGAAGTACAGGTAAATGCAATAAATTATATTAATATTTTAAGAGTTTTTAATTTACAATATAATCATTAGCAATTTTATAATTAACTCTAATCAATTATATTTTTGATTTATTCATTTTAGGTTAATACTAACCGCAACAATATGTTATTGCTTTTTAATTAAGACAGGCGTCGTTTTTATGCGAAACTAAATATGTACATACTTTATAAATTAGACAAATCAAAAAGGATTATAAACACCTATATTTATATTAAACTTTAAAACGAAAGTTTCAAAACGAAGAATTCGTCATTTTTTAAATTTGTTGTAGATGAGAATAAAACTACGAGTACCTATAGACTGTTTTGTTTACCATCTGTTTGGCTTGACAAAACAGTGTGTCTGTAATATTTATCTATAATATATAAAGCTGAAGAGTTTGTTTGTTTGTTTGAAAGCGCTAATATCACAGTATATTATGTCTATATTTTAAGATTAACTTGCTTAAATAACTATTCTACGCGGACGAAGTCGATGACACAGCGAGTACATATTAGTTCATATCAGTAGTTCCTTTAAAACATCGATTATTTATTATTAAAACATTAAAAACCGCTTAAAACTCGAAATAAATTCTTTAATTGATTTTTATATAAAGATAGATGGCGCTAAAAAGCCGATACCATGATCAGATTAGGACTTGCATTTTAAACCGTTAAAAGTGTTTTATTTACTATGTACTGCTCGCGTAAGCTACATATTATAATACTTAGCTTTTGTCTTATTTTCATTTCAGTTTGCCGTTTCCCTATCGGATATGCGATGTATAACAGTGAGCACAGATAACATAAGTAACGTGGCCCTGGTGTCAGGCTCCTGCATTGGAGACACGGTTACTCTTAGCGTATCTGGTACTCCACACTATGACGTCACAGTGTATTAGAAGAAACGACAACACAGCGTTGCTTCGCGAAGCAAAATAAAGAGCAAAATAGCCCACTCCCATATTATTATTGTATATTTAAAAATATATCTAATAAAAACCTCTAAAAAAATAATTGCCTTTTATTACATACATTTTTGTTAAGAAATTATAAAAAAAATAAAAATAAACAAGAGGGTATTTTTTCACTGATTTTCGGGCTGTTGTGTGTGACGTGAGCGAGAAGAGGTTCTCTATGTTTCGCCATCACGAGTGGACGACATCATCAGGAGATGTAAGAACAGCCCGAAAAACAATAGCCGTGAAAGCCTAACACAATTTATTAAGAGGGTATTTTATTAATGTTAAACACAATTTATGTTCGCGTTTTTAGTAATTATTCCCCCTCATAGGTAAAGTTTTACTCCGGCGTTCCAACTGTCGGTCTACGCTCTTGTGGAAGGTAGCTGACAGTACAATATTTTTCTTCAACGGTGGAAGTTTATAATTCAAAAATCGATTAACAATTGAAAAAATTACGACTCCAGCAGGACATGAACCGACATCCTCCACGTTTCGTGCTGTTGCAAACCAATTGAGCTACCTAGTCCTACACGTCATCGTCGAATTTTTTCAACCTACTGATACATGCACCACTCGCGCAATGCAATTTTAACCTTAAAACCGGTTTCTATTCGTCAGAGCCGTAAATTTTTTTAATTGTTATTCGATTTTGTAATTATATAGTGCTATAATGTGCAAAATATATCTAAGTAGTAATTCCTCGTAACTTTATCATTAACACCTTCAATCTCTGAACACTAGATTAGCAGTTCAAGTCCTTTCTTCTTTGATAACAGAAAGTCAAATCATGTTGCGCTTTGCGGTGTGCGTTGACGAATTAGGTAATTAGTCCATCAAGTCACGTTTTATATACTAAGATAAGAAAAAAAAACATTGTACATTTTTGATTACAACGATTAAACGGCAAACTCGTGCTTTTCACTTGAATGTTACTTGTTTATTGTTTATTTCGTTTCCCACAGCTTCATAATATACATGCGTTAAACATAATTAAGACAATTATATTATTAACTAAAGTAGTTAATAATATTTGGTCCTTTCAAATTCTCTTACTTAAAATGTCAAGCGCGAACAATACAAATGTCAACTTAAAAAATCTTTTATATTTTATATTTTGAGCACTGAAAACTACAACCAAATTTAAATTTTGACATTATCATCGTGTTTTACTAGTGTAGCCCTTTCTTTTGATACTCATACTGAGGGGGTTAAGGAAAAATATGTAATCCGCCATTTTGTATCGGCGGACATCTTGAATTTATAATGTTTTTTATTTTATTAAACATATTGTATTGTCATCAAAATTAAATGTTTGTACCAAATTTCAGATTAATCTGACTACGGGGAGGTGGTTTAATTGCACTTTCTAATATTGACCCAAATAAATAAATTACGTACGGGTCAAACTAAATGAAACTGTTTAAAAAGATGAGTATTGAGCACATACGTTTAATTAATTATTATTCTCTTCTATTTTATATTAACGCTACTATCTAATATAAGGAATAAATAATTTGGATTTTTAAATTATTCATTTAGATATGAATATATAATATATAGGTGAGATCCTTTTGTCAGTCCTTGTGTCCCTTATATTTCTTTATGTGCTTTGACATGGACGAATTAAAACTCGAGATTTTAGGAGGAAAGAGTCTGCCATTACATGTATCTAGCCTTTATTAATGGCATACTACAACATTGAACAATAATGTGTGTTTTAATCCGTAAATATTGTATCGTGTATTTACAAAAGGTGATAAATAACTATAGGGTTTAATTTAACTTTTACACAAAGATATAATTAATATACTGTACTAAATAATACTATAATAAATTATTATACTAAAATTTAGTAAATTTCATGATCGGTATTTTAAAAGATAAACAATATAAGAAAAACATATTTATTGAAACGAGTTTTGTTTAGATGCCATAGGTTAGAGTATTTTCACCTTCCATCAAGAGAACCCGATGCTTATCAGTCCTCTTCTATCATAAAAAAAAATACTGTCTGTAGTTTACGGAGGTACACATTTAAACAAAACACTTTAACGGTTCAAACCGCGATATACTTTAGTTAAACTTGTTTGAAATTTTTTTTTAACTACCGCCCGACGTGTCGGATGCTTTGCCAGATCATGTAAAAATGATTTTCAAACAAGTTTAATGAAAATATATCGCGTTTTAAACCGTTAAAGTGTTTAATTTAAATAAAAAAGAAGCTAGAAAGTAGTGGATGAACAACGGTACTAAGTTAATTGAGTTTATAATGAGGGCAATTAGAAAAATGCAATCTACGATTTGTGCAAGGTAGTGTCATTGAAATTGCAGACATTAATTAATTTGATAAGATGTTAACTGCCGTGGATTAAGATTGGCAAAAATAATATTTCTGGTATCATTAGCCTCGGGAAACTCCCTTAGTCGCACAAATGCGTTCCCAGGGCTCTCATAAAAGAACCGAAGTGATCTGGTGGTGTGTTTAGCGGCTCTAGTCGACTATTGTTTTCGAGGTAGTACAATTTTCCACGCTCCCCTCTGTTGGGCGTGCATTACCCATTCACACATAAAGGGGGAACCCCCTTCATCTTTGACTTATTGGTAATAAGTGTTGGATCCCTGAATCTTACTTCGATATATGGATTTTTTAAATTCTAATAGCAGACCAGGTTTTGAAAGAAGGTTTATATCGGTTAAAAATAACCGAGTCAGGTGCGCCAAATTCGGTTGGGTGGTGGGTTTGGATCCAAAATATCATTTAAAACATTTGAATTTTCAGCTGTTACACGTATCTTTTACAGGCATAACTCAGATAAAAATAATGGTGGATACGAACCTGTCAAAAAACGGTAACCAGTAATTATAATGTTTACGAAACTGTAATTTGCAAAATTATCAAATTGCCTAATTAGTTGCATTATTAAATTAGGAGAAAATATGCACAGAGTAATGTATTATTTAACTATACATATATGATAAAGGTGGATAGAAAAGCATGGGATACCCTTAATGAATATATCATACTCCAGCCATATAAGATGTTATATCAAGACCTATTTTGTCCCGGACGGAATTTCAAAATTTCTCATTCAAACCAAATTTCCAAACGAAGTTATAACATATACATTGAATACTGTCTGTAGATTACGGGTGTAGTACACGTTTAAATGAAACACTTTAACGGTTTAAAACGCGATACATTTTAGTTTTAGAGAATTATTTTTAACTACGGCCCGACGTTTCGGATGCTTTGCAGCAGCCGTGGTCACGGGGAGACTAAAGATGAAGGATGTCTCAGACGTCAAAGTTTACTTTACCGTTAAAGTGTTTTATTTAAATATAGACATTGAAAGAAAAAAACATTGATTGGAAACACGATTCATTGATTAGCCATGCATAGCTTCCATAAGACCATAGAGCCCTTCAACATGTTAATAAGTGTAGCTTACAATATGGTAGGGTACTGTGATACAAGTGGTTCCGTAGATACTGAACTATGCCATATTTTTAAATGTGAAGCGTGCTGGAAAAACCTATGTCGTGTTACTTAGAATAACAGCGAGAAATGAAATTACGATGGAACCCACAAACAGAAAAACAGGTACAAAAATATCTTATAAATTTGTGGAAGTATTTATTTTATTTTATGATTTTACTTTATGATATATCTGTCTTCTCCCAATATCACATAACGAGTTTAACCTCGTAATCACTTCAGCAGGGGATTAAGAATTATTTCAATTATAAGCAAGTAATATAATTCTTGGTGTCTTCAAAGACTGAAACATGTAATTTTCTTATATGTATGTACGAACCAAAAATCTATTATGCTTAGTAAAGCCAGCTTGATTACATCTTATTTTATATAGATTTATTAAAATATTATTATTATAAATTAAGTAAGTACTTTGCACCGATTGTGTACTATTTCATGATCTTTGCTATTCTGTAATTTATATAAAGACGCAAATATCCAATGTCTCTGTCACAAGCTAGTCTGTATTAAATGCAATATCTTTTCGAATAAAAAACTCTACAGTTCACTCCACTTTTAACTGCGTTACAGTGTAGTTTTGTTAAGATGTTTCGTGTTTCTCGTGGTGTCGTCGTCGCTATTGGAAATACAAATCGAGGCTGCAACTATTCTACGGGGTAAAGTTATTTTTATATTGAAACAAATAACAATAATTTTTCGTCATTCGTAAATTACTAATTTAGTTTATTAAAACATGTTACAATAAAATTAAATTAAATTAAACGGTTTTAAAGGTGAAATGTATTAGTTATATTACATTTTTCAACTAAATAAAACCCTTTAAACGGTGTAAAATACTTTAATTTTAAAATATACTGCGACTCAACGTTTCGAATGTTTTTAGCAGCGGTTCGTAGACTGACTCAATTAACAAATATAATTAGTATTTTAAACCGTTAGAAGTGTACTACTCACGGAAACTACAGACTATACTAAAAATATTTTCGACTGAAAATATTGGCACAGGGGCTCGAACCTACGATATACCGCAACACTATATATTAATTTAAAGCCCCGCACTACAATAAATATTTCACTAGTTTGTATTGCTTATGTTTTTAAATATTACTAATAGTGGTATTTTCTAATGTTTTTTTACCTGAAAAATATTTTTTTTTAGATTGTAAATATACAATAGTTAGTCTGTATTATAAACGTGTTTTAAACATTAGGCAGATACATATCTGTGGCCCTTTCATTTTTATTCCACAGCAATTACTATTGCAATTAAAGTTAAATAGTGAATTTTTTTTTTTTTTTATTAAAATATATTTTTTATTACGGAATACGGAAGTACGTATCTACTTTGCACAAAATATAATAAACAGCACTAAACAGTCTGTTTTAGTGACCTTACAACTGTAAGGTCACTGTTTACAACCAGAAACCACAAATAAAAATACAAATTATTTTTCTTGTGGTTCCGCCTTTTTTTTATATAATTTTATTATCATTTCCAATAACATGTGAAAAATATTTTTCAAACGTAAACTTTGTAAATTCATCTTCAATGATTTTCTTAAGTTGCAACGCATAAGATATTGAACCTTAATACGCAAGTGTTAAGACTGAAATTACATTGCGCGAGAGGTGCATAATGACAGGTCAATAGGTTGGAAAAATTAGACGATGACGTGTATAGCACGGAACTCAATTGGTTAGAGCAACAGCACGAAATGCTGTGAATGGAAGGCAAGCCCGAGTCGTACTTTTTTTTTGAATTCATAATCTTTTTTTCATTTCAAGTAATTTTTATACTAGTTTCTTTTCTAAAAATTGATAATTATATAGATAATTACACTAAACTCATTGCGTATCGTTTTGTTCGTAAATATTTATTAGTTCGTGACTCTGAAGAAATAGACGTCAGTAGTTAATATATGTTGATGGACGTACTTATTAGGAGGAACCAATTTAAATAAAACATTTTAACGGTATAAAACGCGATATATATTCGTGAAATTGTTTGAAAATTATTTTAACTACGGTCCGACGTTTCGGATGCTTTGCAGCACAGTTTTTTAAACCGTAAAAGTATTTTATTTTAGGTACTACCCGCGTAAAATAAGTACAGACAGTATTTAAGGACCCGGTCAGTTTAACCAATATATCGCGTTTTAAACCGTTAAAGTGTTTTATTTAAATGTGTACTACTCGCGTAAACTATGGACAGTATTTAAGATTTTTTAATGTTTTATATTCATGTGTAAGTCTCGCGTAAACTACAAAGAGTACTTAAATTGCAAACAGATTTTATACTTTTTTATAGATAACATTTCAAAGCTTCAATTTGTTTTTCAGAAATACAGTGTCAAGTTTAAAACCCTACGAACGTGTAGCTGATTACTACGCAGGGAAGTCCGTGTTTGTGACAGGAGCCACAGGTTTCGTTGGAAAGGTATAATTTGCACATTTTGATCTTTTTTTTATAAGGAGATCAGACAAGCGTAGGGTTCCCTTGATGAACCGTGCCAGCCCCAATATATCTAAACAACGGGCTAGTTGATGTGTGTCTGTCGAATGGTAACAATGTATGGCTAATAATCAACGAGTCGCGGATTCGATTCCCAACGTCGATCCAATACGTAAACAATTTATAATCATTCTGAAACATTTAACATTATGTCTGAAAATCAGGATATTAACTGGGTGGCTGGATCACAAACCATGGTCCAAGTGCAATCGGATTTCGATTTCGGTCTGTTGATTTCCAAATATACAGAGTGGCAGGAATTCACAGCGCGAGACGACAGCGAATCTTGTTTAGATGTTTTATGGCTGGGTTTACTTTTTTATGTGTAGATAGTGACTTTCGATTATTATACCAACCATCGACTAACGTCTAAAATAGAGGAATGAAATTTGTTTCTTTTTAATACACCTATTATAGTATGTTGATTTACATGTTATTCATCGCACAATAATCTATAACAACACGTTTATATTCTTATGGTAACACATAGAACTTGGTTAAGAAAGGACTCGAACTTATTACCTTTTGCTATACTTCGGAATTTTCAAACAACTTACTAACCTGTACTTATTAATTATTTTAACGTCTTATTACACGTCAGTAAAGGGCAATTAAGACTAAGCGACATTTAATTAACAATATAGTAATTAAGACAAGTTATATTAATTTAGTAAATTTCCAATATACATGTCGGTAAAACCCTGAAGGAAACATATTTATAATATTATGTAATATCTCTTTGCCAAGTTATAAAATTCATAATTTTTAAATGAAACACTTTCAAGCTTTTAAACGCGTTATATATTAGTTAAACTTATTTGGAAATCATTTTGACAACGGCCCGACGCTTCGGATGCTTTGAAACAGCCGTGGTCAAGAGGAGTCTCCCCGTCACTAATATGCTTTTAAACCGTTTATTGAAATATGTACTATCCACGTAAAATACAGACAATATTGTTATTCTTTCTTTTAGGTATTGATAGAAAGACTCCTTTTCAACTGTACAGATATCGAAACCATTTACGTATTAATTCGACCAAAAGATGGCGCGGATACACAAAAGCGGCTGCAAACAATTTTCAACGTACCTGTAAGTATTGCGATGTCCAAGATTCGATTTCATTTTGTAAAAGACAAATGGCATATAAGTTTTAACGTCCTGGCAATGCATTTGTTGATGGAATGTTATTGCTTCTCCTGGTGTCTTCTGCTGGAAGCACCAAAGAAAGACCAGCAAGGCGAACAGTATACAATTCCTAGGAAGTTTCCTTTAAAAACTCTTAAACAGATAGGCTGATTTTGATATGTGGTAAAGAATTCGGAGGTTTTGTATGTAGATTGAAATCGAAGCTATAAACACTTATAATTTTTGTTTATATTAATGTGAATTTTCAGCTGTTTTCAAAATTAAAACAAGTGAAGCCAGACGCGTTGAAAAAAGTGATTCCAATCGAAGGAGATATAACATTGACACAACTCGGTATAAGAGCAAGTGATAGACAGAAATTAAAGGAAAAGGTAATTTATAATAATAATTTGTGCAAGACCACAAATAATAAGATTTATTACGACGTTTAAACAAGATATTACTAAGGAACACTAAGTAATTCGAATATATCTAAGATACAAAGTAGTCATCTCCAATACAACACCATACTCTTCCGATACGGAACGTATTTTTTTAATTCTGCAGGTCTGAAAATAGGTTACATAGATCTATTATACCTCGAATTAATTGGAGTTGTTAACTTTCCCTGCTAATTTCTTTTTGGCGGTGTTTTTTTTTACCCACCAAGTTTATTTATTTCCCTGGAAAATGCTTAGAAAAATTGTATATGGTAGAATAACTTTTGCCGGGTATATTAGCTAGTATATATAAAAGTCGTTTGATGTAAATTTTATTTTACAAATACACGAAATAGCACTTCGAGTAAGGTTTTTTTTAAATTTAATTTAACAGGTGTCTGTAGTCTTCCATTCTGCTGCAACAGTGAGATTTGTGGACCCCTTCCAAGCGATGATGAACATAAATCTAGAAGGAACGCGTCGCATGATGGACCTTAGTCGAGAAATGAAAGACTTAGAAGTGAGTGCATATGAGACCGCTAGAGGCAGAGTAGCCGAGTTTTCATAGTCTAAAAATGTTAATCTACAAGAGCATATTGACCTAAAATTGTTACCATATCTGACGCAAATAATAGTACAAATAATTTCGCCTGTGCAATATTTACATCTTCATTTTTTAAGTATAAAATGAATTTTGTACTTTTCAAAAACGCTTCTAACGGTTTAAAACGCGTAATATATATACGCGAAGCATTTTGACCCCGTGACCACGACTGCTGCAATCGGTTTTATAGTATACTACGTACATTTATGTAAACCATTAAGTGTTTAAATTTCATTAGTTTAGACTTAAACAAAACTTTGACATCAGATTGCCTCAAAAAAGGAATTTGACAATTTATTCAAAATTAGAATGACTACAATGTTAATAAGTTCACAATTTATTCAGAGATTCGTCTATATATCGACTGCCTTTTCAAACGCACACCGGAAGATAATCGACGAAACTATATACCCACCGCCGAAAAAGCTCGAGGATGTATGTCAGATGGTAAAGGACTATGGGCATGACGATAAGAAAGTCAATAAATATGTTTGTAAGTACTACTGTATATACTATACTAACTGAGTCCTCGACTTTCGCAACGGTCGACAACACATTTCGTTATGCAATGTGGCCAGTCACCTTCCACCACCGACCTAGTATTAAAATAAGGTTCTATATTTTTACAGCTGACGTTGTAAACACGTACACATTTTCGAAAGGATTATGTGAAGAACTAATAAGACAACACCGCAACGACCTACCATCAGTAATTGTGCGACCTTCGATCGGTAAGAGCCTATTCAAATGAAAATAAAAAGGACTTTATTTTCTTAACTGTACTTTTAAGTTGTACATAAAAAAAATAAGTCGAACTAAAGCGAAGATTAAGATTATAATATAAAATATTCACATTTAAATGGTTCCAGTAAAACGGTGTAATAAAAAAATACGAATTTTCTTTTTAACTGTTTTAAGCGCCATCTGTAGTTTAAGCGAGTGGTACACATTTAAATATAACACTTAAAACCGAAATATAATAGTTAAGCTTGTGTACATTATTAAAATTTTAAATTATTAAAGTGTTTTATTTAAATGCGTACTACTCTAGGAAACTATAGATGGCGTTTAAAACAAATTATTCTAAATTAAACGTCGGGTCATAGTTAAAAATATTTGTAAGTTAGTTTACTAATAAATTTTGCGTTTTAAATAGTTGAAGTCTTATTTAAATGTTTTAGACGCATTATTTACTGCAGCCATCCAAAAGTTCCTGTCCAAATTAAAAATCAGTACACTGTACTTTGCAAACTTAAAAAGGCATTTATATAAATATATCTTTTACAGTGTGTCCTATGCACCACGAGCCTTTACCAGGCTGGGTGGATAGCTGGGTAGCAGCGACTGCAACCTTCAGCAATGTAGCCAGAGGCCTAACACCGTACGCTTATGGAACAGATGACGTCGTATGCGATCTCATCCCTGTTGATTACGTTGCCAATTTAACCATCTTGGTCGGTGCTAAGGGAGATGTGTATGTATAATTATTATCTATGTAAACAAAATAACACATACTAAAAATAAATATAAACGAAAAATCTTAAGTACTAACTTATGAATAAAAGGTGGTCTTATCGCTCAGCAGCGATCTCTTCCATGCCTGAAGTACAAGAGAAAATAAATAAAATGAAGTTTAATATTAAAGTTAAGTAATCATTCCGTACTTACTTAATATACAAGCTGTGCTCGTGACTTCGTCCGTATGGAGTTATTTTGAATCACAATTTGTTTTTGCCAAAAAAAAAAATGAATTAAAACTCTCACGCAAGACCGCGTCCCGCCGTTCTTGCGAGTTAAGTATAGATATTCATTGACACGGGCATTTCTTTAGATCATTTAAAGAGGAATAATCCTTTAAATAAATAAATATTTGGTTTACTTCGGATGCTTTGAAGCAGCTGGTAACCTGTTACCCTTAAAAAGTATGGACAGGATTTTTATTACTTTTCTTTGAATTAAAATTTATAATATATTGTTGCATGTCGTGTATAAAAATAATGTTCCAGACTACAAGAATGAGAGATAATGTTTTTTTATAGCGGAGGAGAAGATATTGCGGTATATAATATCTGCAGTGGGAGTGAAAACCCAATTACATGGAAGGAAGGTTCCGACTTATTTCTCGAAAAAAGCAAGGAAGATGGATTTAGTTAGTATAATTTTATTTTGTTTCTTTATGTTTATGTTCTGAAACTCCATTTCCCATTTGTAGCAAACAGGTAAATGGCCCGACACGAACATCCACGACGTCGGGTCCTAGTTGAAATAGATAAAAACTATTCTAATCTACTAACTAATTAATCATAATAATCTAACCACCCAATATTTCGGACGTTTCGTGTCGGGCCTTAATAAAAATAAATTCTAAACAAGTTGACTAATATATTTCGCCTTTTAAATCGTTAAAAGTGTTTTAATTAAAATTATAATATGGAACGTTTAATTCAATTTGTAAATATGTGTTACTCATTATATATGACTAGCTGTGCCCGCGACTTCGTCCGCGTGGAATAGTGACTTGTGGTAAAATTTTTAATTATTTAGGCTGTTTATTAATCTATGAAAGGGGGCATTTAGGGCAGACATTATATGTTGTAAGTGCTACTTTGTCGCAACACTCTCATCACATTCCTACACTCACTCTCACTCCTCCCAGCTTCAAAATCCCGTCGTACGCGTCCCGCCGTTCGGGTCGTTCTTGCAAGTTAATCTTAAAAGATAGACATATAGCATCGGGGACTTTTTTTTAGATCATTTATAGGGAAATCAATCTTTCATATATAGTTTTTAGGTATTTTAAACCGTTTTCCTGCGAAACGCGTACGCATCTGAAACCTACAGAGATGAAAAATTCCCCCGTTTTGTTCACATTTCTCGCTGTGTCTTCGCTCCTATTAGTCATATCGCAATGTGTTATATCCTATAACCATCCTGAATAAATGCTTTAACCAACAAATAATAATTTTTCAATTCGAACCCGTACTTCCTGAGATTAGCGTGTTCAAACAAACAAACAAAATCTTCAGCTTTATATATTAGTATATAGATATAGATAAATGCTCAAATAATTGTATTTTTCAGGTAAAAAGAACGCTCGCCAACTAGAGTTTTCAAAATCAACCTTTGTAGTAAAATTTGGGTCTTTCCTGCGCCAGACGGTTCCATGTTTCTTTGCGGATATCGGTCTTGTTTTGACTGGGAAAACACCGAGGTATTAAGTTTGTATGTTACCTTTATAACATAAGCAAGTGGCCATCTACAGTTTTCTTATTGCAATGTCAATAAGACCCTCTAGCCGGCCAGCCGATTAGCTAAAACAATTAGACAAACCGACCTGATTCCCATGATAATGTGGCAGACAAATTTCTTATTCTACCACTTTACCCCATAAACTAATATGAATTATTCATGTTTAACCGTTTTAAACGCGACACATTTACTTAAAAAGTCGAGGTACCAACACACATAATATATCCCCGATCGGAATCTTTGGTTTGTAGTTTAAAGAAAAAAAACTAGAGATGGGCCGAGTACTCGGTTGATACTCGGTTCTCTGCTTACTCGGCGGGTATTTTGATACAAGTACTCGGCCGAATGACTCGGTTATATTTTGTTATTTGATAACGAGTATATTTTGTAAAAGATAAGCAATATATTTAGGTAGCTATAATTAAAACAACAGTGCTAATCCGAAGTATTTATTAGCAATTTAGGAAATCTTTGAAACTCGGTTGAAAAAAAATTGAGCCGAGTAAAACACGGTACTCGTTACTTGGCAAAAGTATTATTCGGCGTATCTCTAAAAATTACCTAACATGTATGTGTGTACTACAACTTTTACGATAAAATAATATAATAATAAGAATAAAATGATATCGTCTGTAGTTAACGCGAGTAGTACACATTCGATTAAAACAGTATGAAAGGACATTTCATACTGTTTTAATCGAATTCTTATAATCATAGTGTGTAATCATCAACCAAATTTTACGCTTATGGACGTCGGACCACAATGATAACGACCTATGTCAGACACAGCAAACCGCACCAAAATCCCGTTCAATTAATATCAGTGATACTACCTCTATAGTCTAAGAGTTGCATACGAAGAAACATTAATTAGTTTAAGTATAGTTTGTGGTTTGTGCGATTAGTACACATTCAAATAAAATACTTTAACGGTTTAAAACGCGATATATATTAGTTAAACTTTATATATGTATTAGTTAAACTTTAGTTTTATATAGATTATATTTCTGTTAAATAACATAAAAAAAGTTAATGTATTTCACGTTTTTAAATGTTAAAGTGTTTTATATTAAAACATAACTTTTCTATCAAAACATTCATACTTCACTTTATACCATTTATTAAGGTAAATTATATCTTTGGAAGCTTAGTTCTTTAAAATATATCGATATAATAATCTATTTACATAAAACCATAACCAGACAGACAGTGTTAAAAATATAAGTAGCGACATGTTCTGCGGCTTTCATCCACATTGAGGTAAACGTACTTTTATAACATTAGCAATTTCAGACCAAACTATTAGTATAGGAATAAATATATATCCTTGGGCATGTAAAAAACGTAATAATTTCCGTTAAACTCTTCTTTTTAATACTATTACTTGTGTGAAGACCCCTATCAAGCAAATAAACAAAACAACCAATTTATCAAATAATTATATATATTGTGATAAACAAACATTCTTAGTATGAAAAAAAAGATATAAGTACTTAAACCGACAATACTATCATGAAAACATCCGGTTTAACTCTTTAAAAATTTTAGATAGTTCTTTGAATTAGTTGCCACCTCTATTGATAGTGATCAGATAATTTTTAGGGTACTGTGCAACGGTAGAAAGGTGTGTCCCCCTCCGTTCGTCCGTCTATCCGTTTGTACGTATTTTACGGTGTACGGTTATTATAAACGAATACTAAAACTACTAAACTAGTATATTGTACGGAACCGATTGTGCTAGAATAATGTCTGTCTTATTTACGGTGTTCTGTTTGGCTAGACCGCTAGTGTAACATTTGACTCGATGGGAATCAAATTAGGGTAACGTGTTCCTTATGTGCTTATTACTTAACCTTCCAAAGTATGTTTTTATGACAGAGGAAGATTTATTAGATAGACTGCGAAATAAACAGACTGAAAGCGAAATGTTCTCATACCCTATCTGTATGTTGTAGTTGATGAGCTGAATGGAATTGCTATATTCCTTTTAAATAAAACACTTTAACGGTTTAAAACGCGATATATTAGTTAAACTTATTCGAAAATGATTTTTAACTTCGGCCCGACGTTTCGGATGCTTTGCAGCAGCTGAAACGTCGGGCCGAAGTTAATTTAAAATTAACTAATATATCGCGTTTTAAACCGTTAAAGTGTTTTATTAAAATGTGTACTACTCGCGTATGCTATATTCCTACTGCCTATTTAATATCCAGATTTTCCGGACGAAGTTTGACATGCAAAAGCATAGAAATACGTCCAACTCGGCGAGAATCGAATCCACGACCTATTGGTTACTAGGTACATATTGCTATTATTGGACCAATGAGGCTGTGATGTTATTATCATATTATATATAGTACATTAGCTGTTAATTGTAAAGGACTAAACACAAGACCATATTCCAGGCATTTGGTTGACGACACGCGGGCATCACTCCTCCGAGAGATCCTCAAGCCCTTCACGTCAACGTCTTGGTTCATGAAATCCAGGAACACCCAGACCCTCATTTCCACCTTGGATGACCACGACAAACATCAGTTCCCGTGCGACGTGAATAAAATTAACTGGAATAGCTATTTTACGATATTTTTCAATGGTGTTAAGGAATATTTGCTAAGAATAAAATAGTTTTGTTAAAGTTTCATTTAGTTGTATAATTTGATACAAAAACTTAATATATTATTTTTTACATATACCCTCTTTTAAAATCGATTGCCTAAGTGGATTAGTTATTGATCGATGGAATCGATTGATTGATGGAAATAAGATAATTATTTACTTTTATTTGAATTAATATGATAAATTTGTCAAATCATGATTTACTGCAAAATTCTTAGTAGATTTTAAAATACGATAAAAACCTGAACGCAGGTGTCCTATCAACATCATCATTATTTATCTTTAAATAGCTTGTATTAATTGATCATAAGAGAAACAATGAAAGTACTATGCGTGATTTTTTCATGGACTTAAACCTAGGACTACATGTAGAATCGGTAAATAATGTGACTATAACTAAATGATATTGAAAAATTAACCCTTTAAAAATATTGTTTCATTTACTGTCTGATTTGCTTATAATCTTGTAAAGGCGTTCAAAATCAACGCCGAAGTCTCGTTATGATAGTAGTATAACGGAAAAACGTTTTTTCCCTAACAATAAAACGCTTCCGAGAAGTTAAATAATGGACGTAAAAAATTAAGTATTAATTAAATTTGTTAATTTATTTTGTGTTATTTTATTGACTAGTTAATGACCGAGTATAAGGAGGTATTTTTACTACAAGTTAGTAGGAAGCAATAATGTAGGAACCTCTTTTTTTGTAGGAAATTCTTGGAGGGGGGGGGCAGTAGTTAGAGGTAGTCTTCAGAGCTGCTTTATTTACAACACTTTGTCAAATTGTGTTACAATACAAATAAAATTATAACGTACAGACATTGCGAACAATTTAACATTATTCTCCTGCTTACAGAATACGAAGGTTGTGGGATTTTTTCTACTTAAATAGTTATTATGTTAAGTCTAATTATTTTTTATCATTTAAGTACTACTTAAATCTAACTGAGCTGCTATATGAGTCACGCTAACATCCTCTATAAATATATTTGTGGGTCTGTTTGTTTAAGAAAATTATTTACGCAAAAAAGATCTTAATTGATCAACTTGACAATTCTTCTCTGTAATAACTGAACACAGTTATTTTCCAATCATCTTAGGGCTTTACAATTACAAATGCTTTTTTAAAACAGGAAAGTAGCCAAGCTTATACTCCAGCCATATAGAACCTAAATAATGACCTCTCTTGGGTTTGACCAGTTACAAAACTTCACCTTTTTTTATCTGTGGACCACCGATTCGTGACCCAGATGAATTCTGATAACAGATCAGCATGGGGTCACTTGATAGTGGTGAAATAATCATGTTATACCTAAGCAAGATGCGCTGTAAGCCTTTTTGGCTTCAGCTTTGAACTATATGAAATCCACAGACTGAGATAGAAATGCGATTGGACTTGATGGCTTTATCTGTAGATGCTGATGACCCTGACGGGACTTTGAAATTCCTACCGCCCATTTAAGATTTAGATTTCCAGAAGCAGATTCAGGCTTTCAGCAGAGGTTTTATACCGTTAAGAGTATTTTCTTTTTGTTTCTAATTTGTATTACACGCGTAAAGTACAAAAGTACTTCTATATGCGTGAGTTTAATATAAGCAATTATGTATTCATTTATTTTGGAACTGTCCATGTTTCACCACTGTTGGTATTATCTAAAGTTGTTAAAAATACATATTTGAGACAGACGCAGCTTAATAAGTTAGGTAAAGAATAAATGAACACTATAATACTGCATTAACATGTGTCCAATGTTTATGTAAATTTAAAAAATATAAATGTCAAGTCAATGTCCGTCTAAAGCAGACGAACGCATCCGCGGTAAGTGATTGTAATAATATTTTCAACATTAACGCAAATTCACAGTGATTTATGTGGACATTAATTATGGAAGTTGGATCCTGAAAACGTGATGACGCAAAAAAAAATTTTTTATTACTTGTACTGTATTAGTACTTGTTAGCAACTACGTATTTTGAACTTTCTTAGTGGCGTTGTGCACGTTTTTGTAATGCATAAAAAATATTTGCTACTGGCTGTGCCCGCGACTTCGTCCACGTGGAACGTGGGACTTTGGGTTGAATTTTTCAATTATTTAGGCTGTTTATTTATTTATTTTATAAATTTAATAAGACACATATGTTCCACTGCAAAGAGCTTATGAAGGTATTTATAATAAGTATATCCATGGTACAGTGTATTTTTATACGCCTATTTGAGTTTTGTAGTTTTGCATATATACTTTTGCATTGAAAATATTAGTAAGTTCTATAAAAATTAATTACGATACAACCACACAACTTTTCATACCTCATTCAACCTTTTACTTCCCGTTTTTTCGAACAGCTAAAGGTTTTACAATGCATATCATCGCAAAAAAAGCATTCAAGGCAGCTAATCTGTGTTATAAGTGCTACTTTACCGCAACACTCCCACTCCCACTCCCATCCTCACATCACTCCCACTCCGATTATCACTAATACACTCATTCCCACTCTCACTCCCACTCCCAAAAAGTTGAAGAAGAAAGTTTCATTGTTCTAGCTTCAAAAATCACGAATTTTCATACAAACTTTCATCCCCCTTTTCAACCCTTAGCATCCATTGGCATAAAAAATTGGTAGCCTATGTCCTTTCTAAGGCTCTATAATATCTGTGTACCAAATTGCATTCAAATCGGTTCAGTACTTTGGGCATGAAAGCCGGACAGACAGACAGACAAACAGACAGGATTACTTTCGCATTTATAATATTATTAGTGATAATATATCTATACTAATATATAAAGCTTCAACGCACTAATCTCGAGAACTAATAGATCGGATTGAAAAAATATTTTTTGTTGCTTAGAGCATCGTTAATCAACATTATCAAGTCTTTAGTCTATAAAACGTCACGTTGCAGAAACAGCGGGAAATGTGGACTTAACAGGGGTTATTCATTATTGTGAATTTCCATTGCGTGTGATGCGAAAACGCTTCTAGAGACCCAAAAAATATGTATGAAGGAATGATTCGTCTTTAAATGATCTAAAACAATGTCCGGGACAGTATGTCAATCTTTTAAAATAAACTTGCAAGAACGACGAGACGCGGAGGACATGGTGGGTAACAGCCATAATTGTGAGAGATGACCAGGAGGTTTGCAAAAACAAATTTGATACCTAAAATAACCATTCGACAAGAATCAAGTGGCTGACAGGAACAGGAAAGGACTCTGAACTAACCAGTTGAGCTACCGAGTCCTACACGCCATCGTCGGATTTTTCAACGTATTAACACGTGCACGTCTCGCGCAATCTAATTTCAACCTTTAGACTATATTTCACAATATTAACAAAAACTTTCCACCTTCCAAAGGTTCCTTGATAAGCATAAAATAGTTAACTTCAAGTCCTAATCGCAGAAATTACCAGACGTAGGCTTTCTTTTATCAAGGAACTATCGATTGATAAAATCTTTCATTCATAATTTTATAAGACTAGCGCCCTCCCACAGTTTTACGCGTTACTAAGTATTAAAATAGACTCTACTACGATTATAGATAATGGTCCAGGGCTCAGGGAAAGATAATGTGATTTTACTTCTAAAAATGTTAATTAAATAATAAAAAAATAACTTAAACGGTGTCTTCATAAGAATGGGGTACTATTTAAAAACATATACACAGCCTCTAAAGAGGGTAACTATATTTAAATAAAATGAACGGTTTAAAACGAAAAATATAAAATAGTTAACTTATTTGCAAAATGTTTTAACTACGACTAGACGTTTCGGATGCTCAGCAGCAGCGGTGATCATGATGCTCGTGCTCTGATGGTGGGAGGGCTCCGCTCGTGACCATGACTTCAAACTATTGTGTGTACTACTCGCGTAAGCTTCACTACTTGTGACAATTAAAATGACTGTATCGCGATGCTTACCCAAAGAAACAAACAGACAGTTTAGCTTTACATTATAAGTTTAGATATAGACACCGGACGAAAACAACTATCATATCTAATAACATTATCAAAGTTCAACTATCGTTTCCCTTTCTTATCAAGCTTAAGTAAATAATTAAAAATACGCAAATATTATTATGTATTTGAAAGGATAGACTTGAAAGAAACAATTCGGATTTTTCCATATTTAAGAAACTTATTTTCATAAAAATCTGACAGTCATAGCTTATTGGTTTTCAACATGCAATGCTAACTTCAGGCCATAAATGGACATTAAGAAAAATCTAATTAGAATTGACAACGATCGATATTATTCATCAATATAAAATATATGTTTTCAAATACTGTCTATAGTTTACGCGAGAGCTAGAAAGGTACAAAGTGTACATTTAAATAAAACCCTTTAAAGGTTTAAAACGCGATATACTAGTTAAACTTATTTGAAAATGATTTTTAACTTCGGCCTGACGTTACGGATGCTTTGCAGCAGCCGTGGTCACGGGGAGACTAAAGACGGAGGATGTCTCTGACGTGAAAGTAAAAAATTGCTACGCTAGCGCCATCTGTTCCGTCGAAGTTGGTATTTGGCGAAACTGGCCGGGTCCTTACAGAATTGACTAACGGTGTCTTCGCATTTGCCGGTATTCTGTTTATTGGAATCCAGAGTTTTTAATATGGGATCCCAGGTGTTTGATAGTTTGAGGCCGTCCTCCCTATTGAAATTTCGGTGTTTTTTGATTTCAATTGCTTCGCGTACCAATCTTGGAAAAAATCGACTCTTCACAACAAGATGAAGAAGACTCTTCAGAACAGATGGCGCTAGCGGAGCAATTTTTTACTTTGACATCAGAGACATCCTCCATCTTTAGTCTCCCCATGACCACGGCTGCTTTAAAGCATCCAAAACGTCGGGCCGGAGTTAAAAATCATTTTCAAATAAGTTTAACTTATATATCGCGTTTTAAACGTTCAAGTGTTTTATTGAAATATATATATTTCAGAGCGCACGTAACGTTCCATCTATTGGTCCCATCGTGGTTTTATAGCCTTCCTCGATAAATGCTCTAAAG